GTGTGTGTGTGTGTGTGTGTGTGTGTGTGTGTGTGTGTGTGTGTGTGTGTGTGTGTGCATCATTAATTACTAATTTATTAATATTTATCCTTTTTAATTATTAATATTTATCCGAAATTTATCCTTTTTTCAATATTCTGACGCTATTGATATTGTTTATAGGAAAATGTGTTTTCGGAAGAGCTCTGGAAGACAAAGGTGAGAGACATTCTCGAGAATTACCAAACAAAGGTAGTGTCAGCTATACAAGATGGATACGATGGCATGCAGAAAAATAAGTGGACCTTTGCCGGTGCTTTTCTGTATTCCCTCACTGTGATAACGACCATTGGTGAGTCTATTAATCTAGTTTTAATCTAGTTTTACTTGCAATCTTATTTACTTTTTTAATTTACTTTAATTTTTTAATTTGTCTTGATTTTAAAGCATAAAACAAATGTCGTATATATACTTTATATATGGTATGTTCATATTTATCTTTAAGAACAGAATGCGACGCGAAAACGTGAGAGAGTAAATGTCAGAGAAACTCTTGAAAAATGTAGACAATTTACTCGCTGCCGGATACTTTGCTATACTAAATATGGTACGCTTATTTGCGCTGTTAATGTCCGGCTAATGCCCATTTTTCTCGTCGTGACTGATAAATCTTCTTAAAGCTTTTATGCCAACTATGAGATAATGTTTTAAGACTGAGTTTTTAGATTTTAAATTTGACAATTTGTAAAATATTGTCCTAAGCGGCAACTTTTTAATATATCTTATCAAGGTAGTGATCAATTACTTGGATTATTGGAATATTAATAATTATATAAGAATAATTATATAAAAATATGCAACATAAAATTGTTCATTTTATTTTTTGTAAAATAAACAATCTTTAGACATTTTGTGTACATTGATATTGACATTGAGAACAGTATGCCACCTATAAGTATAAGGAAAATTCGGTTAAGTATTTTAGCGAGCGATATCTCTCCGATAAGCAGCTATGTTCGGAAACAAAAGAAAGTTAAATTTTAAAAATGGACGAACCTCCAGCTGAAAAATATGTACATAAATCTTGACTGTCTGAAATATCAGTTGAGAAAAAGGATTGTTAAAACAGAAAGAAGAGAAAGAGAGGAGGGAAAAGAAGGAGGGAAGAAAAAGAGAGCAACAGTAAAAATATTTGTTGAGATCTGAATGACAATTTATATCTCTTTAATTACTCTTTTTCTATTTTCAATATTTAGTCGAATGTTTCAAACGTAGTTTGAAATATTTAATAAAAGTTTTTAAAATTTAAAAAATTAATTATTATTTTTTGCTACATATACTTGTGAAAATCTGACAACCAAAATACTTTGTTTCGATTGACAATAAAGAAAGCGCAGTTCGTTCTGTTCTATGTCAATTGCGGAATAAATTGATTCGATCGAGTTAATATCGATATGCCATTGGTAGCATAATTGAAATATACCTTTTTTTTATTGACATAAATGATCAATTTTACATTACCTTTATTTTTAAATGCATTTTTAAATCTATGCAAAATTTGCTTCTATTCAAAATCATGAAGAAATGAAATTTCTAAGAATGACCTTGCTATAAAAATTCTGTTATTTAGATAAATATTTGTCATTTATCAAAATAATACATATTATGCCAATTGCATTTCTATTGTCGCGATACAATGTAGATAAATTTCTATAACGCGAGAAAGATAAATTTATCGAAATTCTATCAATCTCAATTCACTGGAAGCGATTTTTCCGATAAGAACAATTAAGCTTCAACTACAGATCAAAATAAACAAATTAGCAACGAAATTGTAAATTTTTTATTGACGATTTTCGAAAAATTTTTGCTACGATAATCATCTCATTTTCAATCAGCCGTAATCTGATGTGTCAAAAGAAGAAATCAAGATTCTCCGAATCAAGCAGAAAAATCGACGTGATACGACGGACAGTTACCGGTATCTAGGTTACGAATAGTATCCTGAGACCTGGGATTTATCATTTTCCGGCGCCACGGCAATGAAAGGGTAAAGTGATATTAATGACTTTAACGTGATGGCGGCTTTGTTCTCAGCGTTATGCGTCCTGCGCTATATCGGTATATCGGTGCGCGAGTGTGCGCAAAGAATATAAATCATGATTACGTGGCGAAATTACGCAAAAGGAATTGCGTGATTCGTGAGACTATCGCATAAATTAGAAATATGTAAAAGTATTCGCGACTATGGGAAAACATCTTTGATATCTGTTATTAAAAAATCTAATCTTTTTCATATAAATCTATTTTGATTCGGTTTTTCACTGAACAAGTAGTGTCAATGATAGAGTATCAATATATTATAAATGTTATAGCCAATATTGCTCTGATAAGTAAAAATATCGCGAAAACTGTTGTAACAATAGCTATAGAATAATAGCTAGAGAATAATAGCTATAGAATAATAGCTATAATAAATAATAAATAATTATAACATATCGTCTAATTAAACCAGATATAATCATAATTTATATAACTCTAATGGGATTCACCACGATGATAATTGTCGAAAGATTTATTGCATTTTGATAATTATTATTCTGACAATTATAATATACTGATATTTGTACTTGGAACACTATTTTGAGAGAAATGCGTTTGAATAGTGCAATGTAAATTTTATTCATTCGATAATAATTATTTATTATAATCGTCAACATTATTTAGCTTGTTTCTCGATCATCAACGCAATCGATAAAAAAAATTGGTCGTTTCAGATTAACGTAAAATTAATTATCGATGGGAAATATTCGATGTACCGATGATGTACTCTCTCCATGAAATTGCAATCATAAATCGATGAACCGCGCATTAGTCAATTAATGCTAAACTCGGGTGCAATTCAATTCCTGACATCGCATTATTTAATAAATTAATTAGTATTCTTTTTGTTTTTATACTACGTATTTATTATTTCACATTATCAACATTATTTTTTTAAATGGACAACCTTACAGTAAAACAACATTGTGTGTATTACGTGTCAATAAAAGCTTAAAAAGATTTCTGGCTGCCTTTTATAAATTCTTTATAATCAATTAATTTATGCTATTACAATTGATCGTTACAAATGACATGACATCCGTTGACATGAAATGTTATTATTATTGTCACATGATACAATTGTGATAATCGAAAAAAGTAATGAGAGCGGAGAGAGCGGCGGGAGTGGCACAGTGATGAAAATCGTGAAATTGGTATCGGTTATGATGCTCGACCGATTCTATATTTCCCTCGTATCCGATGTCCTTCGCGGAATCGAAATGCTACTGAAAATTACCTGCCGTACGTCTACACGGTGTGTCTCTACGACGAATCTGCGGTAGGCTGCCTTGGGAGGACTTAGTTAGGCCGGAAATTAATTAACGCGCTGATCGCGTCGCGCGCTGATCACTCGATCTCCCGAGACCCGAGAGGAAGTTTGCTCGTTCGTTCGTTCCGTCCGTCCGTTCGTTCGTTCATTCGTCGCAAAGAAAAAAAAAAAAGAGGATATCTCTTTTGATCACCATCAAGATCGATGTTCCGTTTCACTATTAATTAATTTCTTTAGCGTTATCCGTTAGGTTAGGTTATTAATTAATTTGCTGGAATTTGCGTGTTAATAATAATATTTGACAATCAAAATGTGGATTTGCAAATGGACAATCAAAATGTGGATGTGCAAAATATGGATTTTGCGAAAAGAATACTCCGATATTCTTCCCTCCTTATTCTCCAGTGTAGTCGACCTAATCGTAATATTTTCAAGGCATGCATCTATTGTCAAAGCTTGCTCGTGATTTCAATATTATTTTGTTGCGTGAAAATAAATGGGAATTCTTGTAAATTAACAATGTTATCAAGAACTATTGCAACAATTGGATATTTTTAAAATAGGTTTTCACTTTTACCTAATTTAATTAAGGGACGAAAGAAGGTTTATCTTTAATTTTGCCCAGAGATGTTCATTCATTAAGATATCGACGAACATGCTTGTTCACAGATTGTCGAGAATTTTAGATATAATAACTGTAGTATTACAAGAGGATGAGAGAGATAACCGGAAATATAACACCCTATATAAATCAAGCGCGACAGCGATTGTCCAATATCACCGGCAACGGGCATAATTAATTTTCAGAGGGAATCATTTTGCCGTTAAACTTCTTGACAACCCGATAAATTGGTGCCGCGACGAAACCTCTCGCGATTAATCCTCGCGGTAATTGATCGCCACGACGACGACGACGACGTTGTCGCATCGATCGCCCTCGTCGTTCAAGACGAAGAAATAATACGCACGTACGTGTAAGAACGCACGGGATATCGGTTTCCGTATTTTTGGTTAATCGCCAATAATTCCCTGGCCGGAAGCCCGACCTGAACGGACTAATGTCCCCGATACGTCTCGCACGTGATACCTGTTACGTGCGTGGCAAGACAAGCGTGTCGTTATGCCGATAATGCCATCCCCGAACGGAACGTTGACATTTCGAGCTTTTAATTAATCATCATCCGTACCAATTACATTTGCGGTTCCAAAAATAATTTTAGAATATTTGCGCCATTAAGTGTACCACGAAAATTTCTTTTTTTTTTTAATGAAAAGAATCTTTTTTTTGTTCTCTTGCTTTTGGAATTTTAAATTTTACTTGGCATTTTTATATATACTTTTTTAAAAATTAAACATTTTTTAATTTATTTTAATTTCTAATTTCCAAAATGAATCCAATTTTTGAAATCTAATTATTAATTCTAAGAACATATATATATTAATCTGGCTTACATTAATTTATTTGTATTAGTATCTTTATCCATTATTTCATTTCAATTTGGGATTATTATATCGCTAGTCTGTCTCACAGATATGTTGAACCTAAACTTTAAACCACCAAGAATGGAAACGAGTGATATGACGAGTGCATATATCATGTTAATTTATGTCATGGTGCGTCGCAGTAAATCATCGTGAAAGCGAAAGAGAGTAAAATCAGACGATCTCGACTGCCAAAATTGTCAGTTAGTGAAAATGATAAACATCGCCTAGCGGCACACGCTATGCTTCACAATGTGGTTATCAGAGCTTTAGTATTATCATGTACATCGCTAAAACTAAATGCACATCGCTGACGTGCATTTAACACGGAAGCTTTTACACGTGAATGCATGCAAAATGGCTTGAAAATATATCCTTATTTATCCCTTGCTCTTTCAAATTAAAATTCAATAAAACTTAACATTTTACAAATTTCTATATTTTAATAATTAAATACATCCAATCTCTAAATTTATGTCTGTAGATCTTGAAGTCGATTTTAATATTTAACATTAATTTATCTTAGCTCAGTAATTAAACTTTGAATTGAAATTTGAGCACTAAGAAAAGCTCAAAGAATTTACGATTAAACTTAAAATCACGATGCTTTAGAACAAGTATAAAATAAAGAAATTACGTTTTGAAATTATGTAATTGGTGCGAAGAAATCGATCATAATGAATAAGTGAAACGGTCCTTTCACACGTATCGGCGACGGAAGAACTTCAAGTTGATTATCGTTGAACTCGACATATTTCTATAAATATCGACTCTTAATTAAATTAGAAATCGTAATACTGACCCAGGTATCGTTATTCATTTAGCGATGGATTTAGGCTTGGCAATAATAACCGATCGTCAGTAGTTTACATAACGTTGCCGCGGACAAACGTTGTGTTTTACTCGACAACGCTGCCGGCTATAAATTCGATGTACACGATTTAAATAACGTCCGTGCAAAACTTGCAGAAATGCACGAGGTTTTAGTCTTTTTTTAACATTTACAACTGTTACAACGTTAACTAACTACTCAAGGAAAACACACGTGCATACACACACAAAACACACACACACACACACACACACACACACACACTTCCGTTTATCTATATTTATTACACTATTTCTTATATCTATCTCTTATAATGTAGATAATTGCTTTCAATATTCAATTAGTTAATACGTGTAAACATAATTCGCGTGTAATTCGCAAATAATGAGAAAATAGATGTAATAGAATTTCTATTTCTCTAATTAAAATTTTAAATTATAAAATTCTTAATCAAATACCGACACGCTCAAGATTTATCAAAATTTCTCAGGTCATTTAGTTACATCACATAAATTTAAATTTTTCCTTTTCAGTATCATATAATTCCAAAGATAGATATAGACGTTATTTTTAATATTTAAATATAATTTTTAAAAATATTTATTTATATATTTAAAGATATTTATTATTAAAAGTAAAGTTGAAATTTCTGGAACACTTTGTATATGCGCAGTGCTTTTATGAACTCGTATTCGTCGGCTCGTATAACACGACATTAATTTTCGCCTGCATAGCCCATTATTTCCGCTTTCATTTCCGACTATGAAACGTGTGCATATTACATTGTAACACAGGGTGAGTTGAAAAGTTTTATGAAAAAATTTGTTTCCATGTTTTCGATTTAAAAATAGCAAGAAATGTTTGTATCAACATGCAATTAAACTTTTCCGATCTTTTTAGAATATTTGATATTTGTATGTACAAACATATTTAGCTTCCATGTGACATGCGTATTCCCTCGCCTATTATCTGTATTAATTTGTAAAATAATTTCTCTGATGCCTCATTATAAAAATATGTGACATAAAAACACTTTAAATGATAATAATTTTCTATTTTTTGTTTCTTTTGCATTTTGCGATAAAAAAATCGGAGAAATTATAAAGCGGAATATTTAAAGAGTAAACGTGTCTCTATTTAACAGGCACGTTGTTTCTTCACGAATCTCTCTCTTGAATTTTTTCTGCTTCTTTAACTTCAAAGCTTCGTACACCAACGTGAAGTAAAATGGAGTTTGCGATACAAAAATAACATCTTTATTTGTGGTCGCTTAAAGGAAGACCGTTGGGAGGTTTAATCTTTCTAAAATGTTAAGAGATGATACGTACATACATATAATAACGTCATTAAATTTGCAGAATATTTGAATACTTTAATCGTTTTAGAGTTTCTGAATTATTTAATATATAATTATATTTTCTGACTCGTTTTATTTTTTTTACACAGCTAAAGAATAAGGACGTAATATTATCTTAATAATAATAATTTACTTTAGATAATATGATGAGATAAGATGATATACAAGGAATAACATTTAATTTTATTCAGATATTATTTTTAACCATAGTATCGTATAAAATTAGCGTAAAGTATTTATAAGTATATATTTATCGACTCTATCGTAATTATAGATAGGTTGCAATAACTGTATAACTGTAAACGCGTGACAGTCGCTTCTTTCTTTTCCGTTTTTTTTTTGTAACAATAGATTTTGACAAAATAAATAAAAAAAATTGTATCGACGAGCTCGCGATATCTCTCGATTGGATTAACAAAATCGGTGTTTCATTCATTCGTTTGCACGGACACACGCGCATTAAAAGATGACGCTGAAAAAACAGTCGGTGCATGTTGCAAAAGCTATCCGCAATGACGCATGTCGTTTATTCGACACGCGGAAAAATCTCTCTCGACACTTTTCGGCCGTGCCATGAAGTTTTGGATATTGTATCGCAACACGATCGGTTTCGCGGCACGTTTCCTAATCGTTGCGAATTCCGAAAGGAAAGGATTTTTATGAATGAGTAATGTGACGCGTGAACGACACATCACCTTCATTCTCAAGTAAACGAGCGCGAACTATTCTCGAATTAGAAATGTTCCAAGATAAATTTTAAATTTTAGATTTATATCTCTTTTATCTCCCTCGCTACGTTACTCGTTCAACACAACGCAAATCGTACGATTTGATAGTCGATCGACCATCGCAGATACGTGCGATGTAATTCAAATATTAAATTTTTATACTGAAAAATAGTTGTGTCAGAGAAACACAGTTGTGTCCGAGACTAAATTGCAACGAATGAATTGGAACGCTTAAAATGTAAAAATTAAAGTTCTATGAAGTAAGAATTGCGTCTCAAGCGTCTCTTTGCTTTGTGCGCGTAAGACTCGGGACTCTTTTCGACATAAAAGCAAGGAGACGCACGCGTCGTAAAACATCGTCATCGATGCAGGGCCAGCGTAGACATTTAAACGCGCGTTTCCATTTATCGCGGGCTTTACTACCGTCATTTACAATCGGCCGTGTCGGCCATTTTATCATCGTTAAAAGACGTGCCCGCGCCATCGGACGTCAGACGTCTCGACCGTGTCATAAATTGTCAATACGGGATTCGTCGATTTTTAAGAATTAACAAAATCGATATGTTCTTGAGAAGAGTGATTATCGTAATTCCTTCGAATTATAGCAACGTATTAACGTACGATAACGCGCTACAGTATACTAAATTTTAATTTTATGAACTTTGCAGCTGACCGTTGACCGATACAAAATATAAAATTGAACAGAAACGCGAAAGCGCACCCATAAAAATTCGCAATCTGCTTTTGATTTTTTTTTGGTGATATTAGATATAGAAAAGTAAAATTTGAAAACACATGTATTTGTAAAAGGAGTTATAAGGGAATTGTAATTTAAAGTGAAAGTTGTATTTATTTTATTGACTACATAATTCTATACCTAGTACCAATAGTAACGTGAATTACAAAGTTACGTTAATAAATTACGTAGATTACTTTCCTACGCAAAGTTATCCTTTTATTCATGGTCTGGTGCATCTGGCTTTCGAAAGTTTTAATTTTTATCAAAATGTAAATTGTACGTCGCACGATGGCCGTTTGTTTAGCATAAGAAATCTGTAGAAATTACATTCGTCATTACTTTGCAAGTTTTGAGATCATTGGAGAAACGATATTTCGAAAAAATAAAGTCCATCTTTCGTGTATCTGGAAATCAATTATTTCGCATGCGAGGCGAAAGTTCGACATGCGGTTTTCCTGAAAAATCATACCGAATGCATATCCTCATGTCACGTTGCTCTTTTGTATGTACATACTCTTCTATTTCATATATATTGGGCGCACATGTATAGAAAAAAAAAAAAAAAAAAAAAAGTAACCGAACGAGCCTTTTTTTCGCGGTGAATTTCG